TAATTCTCATTTTTCGTTTGAACGTGATCGTCCATTTTCCTCTTTCTCTCTCCCTCTCCCTCTCTCTCTGGAGATTCGCGTTTATGGATAGTGGCGGCAAAACGTTCGCGTAATCTGATTTATTGTCGCAGAACGCGGCATGGCAAGAGCAGCAGTCGCGTGGTGATGGTTGCAACACCCTCAGTTTATGAAACTGGGTTGGCACAAGGCAGATGCTTTGTAACTGCTATATATCGTCGCTTCTGGAATTTCGCCATTATTGCCTGCCTGAAATGAATTCGAAAACGGCGTAAAAGTGAAGTACCTCACTGGACACACATAGTACCGACCACATTATCCCCTGTCCCAGGCTTCATTAAAAGACCAATTTATAACGCGAATTCCCTTGACATTTTATAACATGACTCGATGATGATAATTTTCAGTTGAATATTTAATTTTCCAACTTTTCTATATTAAAATATATATATTATATATTTTTTTTGTGCAAAATCATAGTTTGATAAAACTTCAATTGAAAGAATGCAAAATATTATCTGGTTTTATAACAATTAAATAAAATTATTTTAAAAAATACGTTAGTAGATAATAAACATTTTTAAAACAAGATTTTTTAGGGATTAAAATAAGGGACGTTCCATGTTAACCGGATCAGTGCTCTGTACATAATTGTATGGGATCAATTGAAGCGTTTAAGGTCTTAAAAAGTTCATCTCGAAGTACTTTAACATTTACAATATGGCCATTTTAAAAATCCAAAATGGCGGCCGAATTATGACACATTATATGGCTGAAATGTAGAAAATGTATAATTAAAACATTATTTAAGAAGCAAAAAATGTTCGAATTGGCATTAAATTGATCACCAACAGTGCTAGGGGTTTACAGAATCAAAAAATGCTGACACTTTTCAAAATTTTCAATAATACAAAATTACAGATCCAAAATGGAGGAATAGTTTTAAAAATATGACTCAATTTACTCGAAACTTAGGACTCGGGGGTTTTTGGGGTCGCTGATTACGAATCGGATAATAGTTTTCAAAAATTCAAAATGGCGGATTCAATATGGCGACTAAATTCCATAAAATTAATTAAATTCATTTGAAAATTGCCACTCGGGGGTTTTTGGGGTTGCTGATTACGAATCCGATAATAGTTTTCAAAAATTCAAAATGGCGGATCCAATATGGCGAACTGTTTTAAAAAAAATTACCCAATTCACTCGAAACTTGTTTTACACTCCCGAGTCACAAGTTTCGAGTGAATTGGGTAATTTTTTTTAAAACAGCCCATCCATATTGGATCCGCCATTTTGTATTTTTAAAATTGAGTACAGATTTGTAATCAGCGACCCCAAAAACCCCCGAGTCACAAGTTTCGAGTGAATTGAGTAATTTTTTTAAAAACAGTTCGCCATATTGGATCCGCCAATTTGAATTTTTGAAAACTATTATCGGATTCGTAATCAGCGAGCCCAAAAACCTCCGAGTGGCAATTTTCAAATGAATTTAATTAATTTTATGGAATTTAGTCGCCATATTGAATCCGCCATTTTGAATTTTTTAAAACTATTATTGGATTCATAATCAGCGACCCCAAAAACGCCCAAGTGGCAATTTTCAAGTGAATTTAATTAATTTTATAAATGTTAGTGGCCATATTAGATCCACCATTTTGAATTTGAAAACTGAGTTCAGATTTGTAATCAGCGACCCCAAAAACCCCCGAGTCCTAAGTTTCGAGTAAATTGAGTCATATTTTTAAAACTATTCCTCCATTTTGGATCTGCAATTTTGTATTATTGAAAATTTTGAAAAGTGTCAGCATTTTTTGATTCTGTAAACCCCTAGCACTGTTGGTGATCAATTTAATGCCAATTCGAACATTTTTTGCTTCTTAAATAATGTTTTAATTATACATTTTCTACATTTCAGCCATATAATGTGTCATAATTCGGCCGCCATTTTGGATTTTTAAAATGGCCTTATTTTAAATGTTAAAGTACTTCGAGATGAACATTTTAAGACCTTAAACGTTTCAATTGATCCCATACAATTATGTACAGAGCACTGATACAGTTGACATGGAACGTCCCATAAATTTCTTAACTTTTAAATTCATAGATAGTATAGTAAAATAATAAATTAAGGGTATGTGGGCAAAGGACGTTTTTTGTAGTTTGAAACTATCTCTGAAATAAAAGATGATTTCGGGTTAAAATTTTGGAGAAATGATTCAGTATGGTACAAGGAATCTCGCTGTTCTACTCATTTACTACAACTTAACGCAAAAATAATAAAAATAAAGCAATAAATAGTAAAATAATGTGTTTTATCATAGTTCATTCAGTGGCCACTCGCTCGAATTGGCGCTGTTTATTGGAGTACTGACACTCTCAAGCAACGTCTGTGTATGCGCCGCCATGTTTCTTTTCATTTTCGTTTAAAAATTAAACTTTTTAAACTTCATTTTTTAATAATTTAACTCAAAATTATGTATTTTTCGGAGAACAGTGAGATTCCTTGTACCCAAATCTATCATTCCTGAAAATTTTAGACAAAAATCTTTTCTCGTTTTAGAGTAAGATGTATACTACCAAAACACATTTTCCCATACTAGGTCACATGGGAGGTTCCCACATACCCTTAATTAAATATATTATTAATAAAGACGGTAAATATAATTTTAAAAATAAAAGTTGAGTTTTATTTCTGTCATATATATATAGAAACATGAGGTAAAATTCTAACCATATCAACATTGCAATTTACTTACTTTCTTTCCGTTTTTTTTTCCACTTTTTTTTTTCATTTAACAAGGTGGCTGGTTTTCTTCTTAAAAAGCGACTGATTCTTTTTTCTTTTTTACTTGTGCATTTTCACGGCTCCGCAGTTCTCTCCAACGAAGAAATTATCCACTATACTGTCCCGCGTCGCGTCATCTAATTACGAGTCCCTCGTAATTTTATTCTTTCCCGCGACGCTAGTCATCTAGGATTTTAATTTTAACTGTTTGCTTTTTTTTTTTTGCAGACAGTCAGATTTTCACATTAATTTCTGAAATATAAATATTTATTTATTTTAAATATATAACATAATTTTTTGAATTTTTTATTTCTAATTTATATTCTATTTAAGATTATTACATAAATATAAAGTACATAAAACACTTTTGAATAATTTTTAAAAATCTCGCGTCTATTGGGAATCGAACCCAGGACTCTAAGCTCGCGAGCCGTTTACTTATGCGACCACACAGCCACGTGGACTTACAGATTTTTTGCCTAACACTTTTTTAAAAATATTAATAATGTTCTACCAACTATTTGTGATAACAAAATAACATTATCTTAAAATTTTTACATTCAATAATAGTTTACAATCCTTTGAAATAATTTATTTCAAAAATAATCTAATGCATTTTTTAAAATTTTAATAAATTAATTAAATAACTACAAATAAGTTCATTGCAGAGAAACATTTGTAGAACTAGAATTAAATATATGAAATTTACGTGTACCTATATCTCTAATTTACATCCCTCACAGCACCAGATATCCTAGGATATTCCAAAAACATCCCTTGGATATCCTAGGGATACCCCAGAGATATCCTAAGGATACTTTAAGGATATCCAAAGTAGCGGCGGTTAGGATATCCTAGGGATATCCCAGGGATATCTAAGGATGTCCCTAGGACGTCCCAGGGATATCCTAATTATTTCCCCGGATATTATTAGGATATCCTGTGGATATCCTTAGAACGTCCCAAGGATATCCTCAGGACGTCCAATTACGTCCTAAGGTAACAGCCCAGATTTGAAAGATGATTGACAATCACGGGAAACCTATTTATATCAAAAAATCGCTATCTCAAATAGTCAAAATTTGAATCATAATGATATCCTAGGGAGATCTTAACGATATTTCTAGAATATTTTAACGATATACCAAGTTTATCCCAAGAATATCCCCACGATATCACTAGGATATCCCTGGAATATCCCTTGAATATCCGAGGGATATCCCTTGAATATCCTCAGGATATCCCAAAAATATCCTACGTAATGGCGGTTTGGATGTTCTGAGGATATCCTATGGACGTTTTCAGGATATCCTACATTAGTTTAGGATATCCTGTGGATATCCTCAGGATATCATTTTGTTGTGAGGGATCCTATTTGAAATTTTGCTTGGGAATTCTGATCAAACCTCTGTAATAAAAAATTATTACAAAAATTTATATAGAATATACATGATAATAAATAACAAAAAATAAAATACAATTAATTTAATATAAAGAAATATATTGAGAGGAAATTTTATGTCTTCCAATATAGGAACAACATTGAAGGAAGAAAGGAAATATATTTATATCACTGAAAGAGACTGAAAGAAAAGAAATAAATGATGAAAATCTCTCGAGCGTGTGGTGTTCGTGGGCGCATCGTGTAACAGAAACCACTGCGAATTATTTCCGCATTTTGTGTTCACAAGGACCTGCAAAGTCACGGAATTTTAACGAGTTTTGTGCAAAGTTGATAAAACCAAAAGAGACAAACGTCTAACTCTCATCGTGCTGTATCATTTTTACCACATCTTTTTCGCTTATACGCGCGTCCTTCATATATATTTCCCACACTGCTTTATTATATATTCTCATAAGAAAAATTATATCCTTGACAATTTTTACGTTTGAATTGAAAACAAAAAAGAATTCTTCAAAAAACCTAACAAAAAATTGAGATATATTTAAAATTACACTCGTGGCCAGATATATGCTTACGAATGTACATTCGATATTCTTATTTGAAAAAATGACTTTTTATGTAAATTGTTATTTATAATATTTTGTACATTAAAAATTGGAATAAGCATTTTCAACAAATTTTGACGTTCTAAAAATAAATTAACATGTGAACTTAAGGTTATGTATTATCAAAATCGTATTGCCGACGTATTAAATTTTACTCAAATATGAAATTTTTTAAAACAAAATATTATAATATACTGTATATAACTGTCAAAAATTCATCATCAACCGACCCAACATCAACAACAATTGAATCAACATTAACTGACCCAACATCAACAACAATTGAATCAATATTAACCGACCTATTATCAACAACTATCAAACCAACATCAACAACAACTGATTCAACATCAACCGACCCAAAATCAACAACTCTTGAATCAACATTAACCAACTTAACACCAACAACAATGGAATCAATATCAACAACAATTGAATCAACTGCAACCGATCCAACATCAACAGTAATTGAATCAACATCAACCGACCCAAAATCAACAACTCTTGAATCAACATTAACCAACTCAACATCAACAAAAATTGAATCAACTTCAACCGACCCAACATCAACAGCAATTGAATCAACATCAACCGACCCAAAATCAACAACTCTTGAATCAACATTAACCAACTCAACATCAACAAAAATTGAATCAACTTCAACCGACCCAACATCAACAGCAATTGAATCAACATCAACCGACCCAAAATCAACAACTCTTGAATCAACATTAACCAACTCAACATCAACAAAAATTGAATCAACTTCAACCGACCCAACATCAACAGCAATTGAATCAACATCAACCAACCCAAAATCATCAACAATTAAATCAATTATACCAAAAGGCAAAGGATTTTTATTCCTATTTGTATTTTCATTATTTTTAACTGTAGGTCCGTTCATGTTCGTATGTTAATTAATTTACATTTTAAATCTTATATTTATTAACCTTCCTAGAATATAAGTTAGTTGTAAATTTGGAATAATATTTCAATGGTAATAAAGTACTTAAGTTGGTTATGAATACTCTGTTAGAAAATTTATTTTAAATAAAATTCTGTTTCGTTTGACAATGACTAAAATCGTTTTGCTTGCATATTTAATTTTCTTTAAGTATTCAATTTTTAAAATAAACCTTCGAATAGTATATTAATACTTTGACACATAACAGGATTTTTTATACTATTTTTGAGTTCTCTATAAAAAATTTCAACTCAATCTGAAAATGTATTGCGAGAAAACTTGCAGAGAACATTTATAATTACATAATCTTAAAGATTGTATTGTTTTAATATTTATAGATTTTATAAAATTCGAAAAGTTAGGGAGAGTATACAATCTTTTTAGATTTATGGATCATTCTCTCAAAAAAGACAAATCACTCGTTCATGAAGTTTAAATAATAATAAAAATAATTTAAATTAATAAAAAATCGCTTCGCAAAAAACGTGTATTCAAAGTTTTTCAATGACGGGAGTTTTTAAGGCCATGTAAACATAAATATTTCAGGTAATTTGACATTTTTTGTTTCTCTTTGAAAAATTGAAGCACATAATCCTATGGCCAGCAGAATTTTTATTAATTAAAATTAGTTGAATTATTAATTTGTGTAACAACTTCGAGAACGGATGATTTGCCAATTCTGAGAGAATGGATTCTTAATTGTTATTGTTTTAGGCTAAAAAAAATTATTTGGTTCAAATAAAAAGTATTTTTATTAAAAACGAGATTTTCATTGTTCTGAATCATTGTAAACATTAATTTTTTGTTAATGAAAAAATATTTGACTTTTGGACTTAGAATATTAAATAATATATATATTATATATAAATAAATGAATAGTATTAAATAACTCATTATTCTCATTACACTTAAGTATTTAATTGATCAAAATATTTTATCAGCTTCAAATTTTTATACGAGTTGAAAAATAAAAAAAAAATTGATTTATTTAACAACTAATAAAAATGAAATATATACAGATATACGTTATATATTTCTACGACTTTTCATTGTTGATTTTAATGTAAAAATTGATAAAATGTTTAATTTTCTATTCGATATAAGAAAAACATGCTATACTTCAATAAAAATAATAAAATCATTTTTGTTTAAAAGTTTTTAGATAAAAAAAAACGAATTTAACGAGTTTCACAAAGTCATGTGTAATAAAATTGTTAAATTATATAGTGTTATCTGCGAATACCAATATGTATAAAAGAAAAAATTTCTTGATGTTTTAAACACTTTTCTTTTCTTCTTATAAACGTTACAAATTTACAAGTTCGTCAATATTGTTTCTGAAAAAAAAAAATTTGAAAAACATGAATTATTTGAAATCAATTTTATTTGTTGCTATCGTTAATGGTAAATATATATATAAAAATATTATATAAATATTATATTATTGGGAATAAAGAAGGTTCAGGTATTTTTTAACACTTAAAAAAATTACCTATCTTCTAATAAAAAAAAAATGAATACATTCTTTTAATCTACACGTTTAGTATCTAATATTAAAAATTTATATTTTTATCATTCGCAGGCTATGTTTTGTTTACAAAGGCAGAGAAAATACCATTTAGTAGCTTAAGCTATACTACACTTAAAGAACTTTGCGGCAATCAGTATATACAATATAATCTGTTAATTGATGCAGGCAAATTATCAAGAGAACTTATTAATAATTATGGAAATTGTACTGATACTACACATCAAGATAAAATCAAAAAATTAGTTGAATATATACTTCCTTGCTTTGACAATGAAACTACGCCAAATGAAAATGAATTGACACAAATTTATAGTAATATCACGGAAAAATTATGCATTAACTACGAAATTGGTAATTGTATAAAATGGTTTTTAAAAATATATTGTTACTTATTAGTATTAATAATTATTTATTAATGGAATATTATTTTTAATTATAATTTATGACAATGTGGACGCATAAATATTTGACAAAATACATTAGATATAATTAGAAAATATATAATATTCCTGACAAAATATTTCCATTTTATGTTCAATCAGTTTTGGCAAAGTATTATTACACAAGGCATATGCATTCCGAAATTTGTTTCCTTAACAATCACTTTTTGTCCGAATTTAAATTTCTACAGGGACGCATGATTATGTTCTAAAAATCATTAATTAGAATTTTCATTTTATAGAATTTCATTTGTCAATAATAATTTTTGAGATGAATTTTTATATGTTCGAATTAGTATTTTGCTGAATTTCCATATAACCGATTTTTCATATTACGGAATTTTTACCTACCTGAAAAATCATTTAACAGAATTTCTAATTGATAGAATTTTCATTTGTCCGAAATTGCAAATGGCCGAACAAACAGTCAATAGAAAGATTCGGCGCGATTTTTAAAATCAACCAATCAAAAATTATATATAAAATTGTGATTGGTTGATTTTCAAAATCGTGACGAAAAATTTCTGTCGATTGCTTGTTCAGCCATTTGCAATTTCGGACAAATAAAAATTCAATCAATGAGAAATTATGATAAATGATTATTAAGTAAAAATTCTGTAGTATTGAAAAATTGGTTATATGGAAATTTTATCAAATAATAATTCGAACAAATATGAAAATTCATCTAAAAGAAAATTCTATGCAATGAAATTCTACTCAATAAAAATTCTTTAAAAATGCCTATTATGTTAAAAGAAAATTCAAGCAAATAAAAATTCTAACAAATAAAAATTCTCTGAAGTGAATTTTCGGTTATATAAAAATTCTGTAATATAGCAAGTTGGTTCAATGAAAATTTAGCAAAATACTAATTCGAACAAATAAAAATTCGGCTCAAAAATTATTATGACAATTGAAATTCCATAAAATGAAAATTCTAACTCAAGAAAAAAATTCTTTTCGGATCATTCTACATCGATCTGTTTCAGTCAAATGCTTAATATTTTAATCTTTTTAAATCCTCAAAATTTCATTCCGTATAAATCTGAATTAACCCGTTTATTCAAGGAAATAGGATTGATTCGGAATGAAAGAACCCCGCACCATATACATATGGGAATTTGGGGTCCGGTGAAATTTCTTGCAACTTTGTAATTTTGTAGTTTTTGACCTCCTGAACAAAAAATGTAAATGACAAAATTCCAAAAAATGGAAAGATTTTTTTAAAAATTAAGGTTTAAGGTTAAAAAATAGTGTTAAAAGCGAAAAAAATGAGTAAAACCAAAAGAACTAAATAAACTTTTTTAAAATTCGTAACTCGGGGGTTTTCGGGGTCACTGATTACGAATTCGATGTCAATTTTTAAAAATCCAAATTGGCCGACCAATTTTTCAAAATGCATCGAATTGACTTGAATCTCGTTACTCGGGGGTTTTCTGGGTCGCTGATTCACTTAAAACTTGTTACTTGACGACTTTTTAAGCCTCGGTGAAAATTGACATCGAATTCGTAATCAGCGACCCAGAAAACCCCCGAATAACGAGATTTAAGTCAATTCGATGCATTTTGAAAAATTGGTCGGCCAATTTGGATTTTTAAAAATTGACATCGAATTCGTAATCAGCGACCCCGAAAACCCCCGAGTTACGAATTTTAAAAAAGTTTATTTAGTTCTTTTGGTTTTACTCATTTTTTTCGCTTTTAACACTATTTTTTAAACTTAAACCTTAATTTTTAAAAAAATCTTTTTATTTTTTGGAATTTTGCCATTTACATTTTTTGTTCAGGAGGTCAAAAACTACAAAATTACAAAGTTGCAAGAAATTTCACCGGACCCCAAATTCCCATATGTATATGGTGCGGGGTTCTATCGGGATTTGAAAGGATTAAAAAGTTTCGAAATGAAACAAATTGATTCGGAACGAAAAAAACAAAATTGAAAAGAATTAAAATTCAGCTTCAAAATGAAATAATGGATTGATTGGGAAAAAATATTTTGTTAAGTTACATTAAAATTTAGATTTGGATAGAAACTATATACTTATTAATACTTATTAATATATTAAAATTGATTGAAATTTATTCCAAAATTTTTGTCGTGTATTCAAAATGTCCAAACCAACATGGTAAAAAAAATTTATTAAATAATTAGATTCGTTTGAAACTTGTAAATTTTAGAGGTATTTAAAGTTGATGATTAAAAATTGAATATCAGTTTTGTAATCAATGAAAATTTTATTATATATAATAATAAAATTTGAGAAAATATATCTAGAATCAATTTTGGGGAATATTGATGTATTTTGTAAAATCCGCAATAGAATTGATTTGCGTCATTGTACATTATTGGAAAATTAATTCTTTCCAGTCAATTTTTTGGAAAACAATAAAAAATGCATTAAATCCGATAATGAAGAATTTATGAAATGTTTGTCGAAAAATGTTGATGAAAATAAACTTGAATCTGACAATTTCTATCAGATGCTGGCATTGACTCTTTCAAAAACGGATTGCAAGTATGTTAAATATTTAATTATTGACAGTTGTAAATTTTTATTTATTTCATTTAATTTATTACAATCAATTATTTTATTTACAGCTTTTTTAAAAATATGTACAATTGTATAGTGAATTCATTTAACGACAATTGTAAGTCTGAGGCTAAAATCTTTAAAATAATTTTATCTAAATTTGCCTTGAATTTAAAGTGTGCCAAATAAAAAGAATTTGTTTTTATTTTTGTTACACTTAAATTTATGATTATTACAATATATATTATTACTCTTCTTTAAAATTACACTTTACAATTTTATTTTATGTATAAAGTGAAAATTATTGTTTATGTTTGAAATGAAAATAATTCTTTTAATAATACTGTATTGTTGTTATATTTGTAATTTTTGTGTTTGAAATCATGATTTAATAATAAAAAATTTCATGACAATTTCACTTGTTTTTTATTTAAAAATGAAAACATAAAAATTTTATAGAGAAAATATTTTTATTGTTTCAAGATAAAATTAAATATTCTTAAAATTATTTTGAAATTTTTTAAACTTTTTTATAATAACTTGTAGAATAAATATATTTGTCAAATATTTGATAAAATATTTCATTTACTAGATTTACAGTAAAAAAAAATTCTAGTTCTATAAGTGTATAAATTTATTAAGAATTCTCTAAAAATACGTAGAGATAAACACCAAAATAATGAAAAAAAATTTTGAATTAACTTTCTGTCATAATATTGAGAAAAATTTTATCATGAATTTCATTTTGAAAAATGTCAAACTTTAAAATTTTTAATTTTTTAAAATACTGCTTCATTTAAAATCTAAATTATTTGTTTATATTTGAAATTGTTTTTCTAGAACAAAATATTATGTATCTGTTATTATTGTAATCTTTGTGTTTGAAATCATGGTTGAAAAATAAAATTTTTTTATCAGCTTTATGTTTTTATTGAAAAAAATATAAATATAAAAAATTTATGACGAAATATTTCTTTGAATTGCAATCATTTCTGTTTTTAAGATAAAATATTTTTAAAAAATTAATTTTTATTATATTTTTAAATGTTTAATACATAAAAGTAAAAAATACATAAAAAAATACATAAAAGTACGTAGTATAAAAAAAACAAAAATATTTTTAACAAATTTAAAAATTAAAAAATTTTTTAAAATTCCGAAAATATTGAAAAAATTGTTTGCCTACGATCGGACAAGGCTTAAAATTTTCATAAAATAAGGAAGTAGTTTTTTTTGAAAAAAATTGATCAGTACGTCAATTGAGAAAAATGACTTTTTATCTTTAAAACTTAAAAATTTGAAAAAAAATTCGATTTTTTTTAAATACATTTAAAAATACACATTTTGAAAAAAAAAAATTTTTAAATTGATGCATTTTGAAGGAAGTTATGAGCATTCAAAAATTAAAAGTCATTAAAATTCTGAAATTTTGAAAAATTCATATCTCGAAAACGGCTTGCTAAAAAAAATTTGAAAAAAATTATGAAAGCTATGTCTCAATTAGTACTAAAAGAAAAGAGAGTTTAAAAAAAATCGGAGATGCAATTGCAGATGGACTTCGAATTTGAGTATTAATAAATAAAAAACATCACTTCGAATAAAAAAAAAATCGCAAGGAGTAGGGGAGGTAAAATAAGGGGAGGTAAGAAGGTGTAAAGAAGTAAAGTAAGATGGTGCAGGTGTTTACAACTACAAATTTCATAATCATGAATTTATTTACAGTTATTGCAATCGATTTCGTAGTCCAATCAATTCAAAGAGGGTTAAATTATATCTACAAAAAAAATAAACATACTAATTTTTTAATAAAAAAAATAGAATAATATTTCTTTCATAAACAAAATAACCAGGGTTTTGAACATTACCTAAAATATATAGAAAACAATTTGTTATTATACTCAATAACACAGCCAAACAAAAAAAAAGTGCCCGGGTTGGGACATCAAAGTATCCCCCCCAAGTATCAAATATCCCCTTATCCCCATGTATTTTAGGCCGCTGAACACGAATCTGAAGTCCGTTTTGCTCCTGCGCATATGTACGTTTCTTCCTAACCTCAAAAAAGCATTTCACATTTTTGGTGGGATACGATTTTTTTTTAAATTGATGGATTTATATGAAATTGAGTATTTAGGGGTATTTGAGGTCGCTGATTACGAATCTGATGTCAGATTTTAAAAATTCAAAATGGCGGATCCAATATGGCGAAAAAATTGTTGTATTTTTATAGAATTTGTTACTTGGAGGTTTTAGGGGCCGCTCATTACGAATCTGAAGTTATCTTTTCAACATTCAAAATGGTGGATCCAATATGTCGGACGAAAAAATAAAAATCATTCGGATCGGCTTGAAAATTGTCAATCGGGGGTTTTTTGGGGTCACTGATTAAAAATCTGAAGTAAGTTTTTCAAAATTCAAAATGGCTGATCCAATTAAATATGGAGGACGAATTTTTTAAAAAAATGTTGAATTTTTATGAAACTTGAAATAAACTCAACCTGGACCGTCGGCATTAGCATTACCCGATGAGGTTGAGTTTATTTCAAGTTTTATAAAAATCCAACAATTTTTTAAAAATTCGTCCTTCATATTGGATCCGCCATTTTGAATTTTGAAAAACTGACTTCAGATTCTTAATTAGCGACCCTAAAAACCCCCGAGTAACGATTTTCAAGCCGATCCGAATGATTTTTATTTTTTCGTCCGACATATTGGATCCACCATTTTGAATGTTGAAAAGATAACTTCAGATTCGTAATGAGCGGCCCCTAAAACCTCCAAGTAACAAATTCTATAAAAATCTAAGAATTAAAAAAAAAAAATTTCTAAAAAAAATCATTTTTTTCAAAAATTTGTCCGACATATGGATCCGCCATTTTGAATTTTTTAAATCTGACTACAGATTCGTAATCAGCGACCTCAAATACCCCTAAATACTCAGTTGCATATAAATCCATCAATTTAAAAAAAAATCGTATACCATCAAAAATGTGAAATATTTTTTGAGGTTAGGAAGAAACGTACACGTGCAGGAGAAAAACGGACTTCAGATTCGTGTTCAGCGGCCCAAAATACATGGGGATAGGGTACTTTGACCTCCTAACTCGGGCACTTTTTTTTGTGTGGCTGTGTAATCTTTACGAATTAATTAATTATTAGGAATAAAATATTTTTCATTAATATAATGATAATTATTATGTATGATGTTTATAAAATTGTCAAAAAAAATTTCCCTATTCTATTAATTTTGTTGTTTTTAGAATTTTTGGAACACTAGCGCCCTTGTGAGAAGTGGAAGAAATCGGAAATACGTTGTTTGTATTACTTTTTTTCCGATCGCTATCAGCTCTCATATATGCGATGGCCGATTGTAGAATCAGCGTTTTCTTTAAGAAGTGTGTCATTGGCATAAATGACACAACCTCTTCTCTAAACATCAGTAGGCCCACGCCCCTCTTATTCATCATTGTCACATCATTGTTAACCATTCAGTCTAAAGTTGCTGTCACGTGGGGACGGAGGGAATTGACTTTGTTCTACCTTTGATTTGTTCAAACTTTAGTTCATTTTTAGCCAAGTTCTGTGTTGTGAATTCATATGATCTGTTCTGATTTTGAAAGCAACTTCTTAACCTTTTTTTTAAACCGTTTGTTCTACCACGTGCTCTCCGAAGTGTTCTTCGAAGTTTGTTCTAATCCTGATTTTTTCTGAGTTTTGTCCTATAAGCAAGTGTGACTTCTACCCTCGCTCATCGTAACCTTTTTGTGAAATATCCAAATTTTTTGTATCGCCCTGAGGACCCATTTTATTCTGTTCCGTGTGACTTTTCATGAATTTTACTGGTTTTATCTGATTGTGAGTTCGAAGTGACTCACTCTTATCGTGCTGTGATCTCTGCTGTTTATAATGCTTTGTGGAACTATGTAAACATCTTTTGTATATCTGCGGTGTCACCTTGCAGTGTTATGGTCTTCGACAGTTTAATATCTTAACTGTATACCACTTGTTCAAGGATTAAGTATATTTAAGGTGTTTGAAACCCGGTGCTGACATTTTCCCGCCTTACAAGTACAATTGATATTTCTCACTCAATCTGAGTTTGTTTCTCATTGTTTTACCCAGAGGGAGCTTGACTTCAGTAGTCTTACTTTAACCTTTCATTGTTATATTTTTCTGATTGAAAGTTAGAAATTGTTATTAGGATCAATTAAGGATCACTGGATTCCGTTAAGCTCATATTCACACTCTCTGCTTACGGCTGGTTTCCAAGTTGGGCTACAGTACTCTTCGGATTATAATTATGATCAGCTGTCGACGAGTTCTATTTTCTTCTTTCAATTGGTTGTTCTGACTCATTGTATTATCAAGAAGTCATATAAGAAAGAAGAAGAAGAAGATTGTTAACCATTGTTAACTGATAAAAATTATGAAAACGATCGACAAACGTAATTAAATTGTTGATAGAATAATATAGTACATTTATTTTTCAAAATTAATTTATTATATATTGTACTAACACAATATCGACGCATTCAAAAAGTAAGTTTTTAATTTTACGACTTTTCTGAAATTTGACATAAGCTGATTTTTCTAGGTTAGGAATATTAATTTGAAATGTTCAGGAAAGTTTATGTATGCATAATTTTTGCACATCCACGAATTTTTACATGTAAATAATCTTCGTGAGCGAAAATTTTGTGGAGAACACAAAAATAGTATAAGAGTTAGATGTGACTGAACACGAATTCAATGTCAGATTTTCAAAATTCAAAATGGCGTATCCAATATATTTGCACAGAAAATTAAAAGGCATTAAAATAAGCTGCAACGCTTATTATTTTAATCCAATTTTGCTTATTTTAATCCATTTTGGTATTAAAATAAGCAAAATTTGATTAAAATAATAAGCGTTGCAGCTTATTTTAATGCCTTTTAATTTTCTGTGTGACGATTTTTTTAAAAATTGATTGTATTTGCTTGTAATTTGTTACTTGAGGGTTTTTGGGGTCGCTGAACACGAATTCGATGACAGATTTTTAAAATTCATAATAGATTCAATATGGCGGACGATTTTATTAAATATCGAAGAATTTATTGCCATTTTAAATTTTCAAAATGGGTTTTAAAGGGGAGGAATAGCACTTTCAGATACAATATTGACCTTTTGGAAAAAAATTATCTCTTGATGTTTGCATGTCCTCAAATGTCGTTAAAAAACGGGTTTTCTGCACTTTAAGGTTAGAATAACTCGAAAACCTGACGTGCATTGTCAATTTTGAGTCCGAATTCGGATTCAACACGTCTAAAACCTTCGGGAAAGTGTTGTCTGATTCTTGGAAAGTAAATTGAATCCAATTTTGTTGGACTGTGTAATTTGTCAAAAAATTGCATGTTTCTGGTTATGATTGAAATCGTATTCTCGTTTTATTAAATTTTTTTCAAATATTTAATTTTTTAAAATTATATTTTTTATTATTTTTTTTATAGAATATTAATACTCTGTCACATAACAGCGATTCTTTATACTATTTTTGAGTTCTCTACAAAATTTTAGCTTAATTTATAAAATATTTTGCGAAAAATTTACAAAGAATATTAACATATAAAATCACAAAAAAAAATGGTAAAAGTATCCGTGCTGTGTAGGAATCGTGACATACACACACACACACTATATTTGAACACTTATTTCTTTTATATCGAAATAAATAAATTATATAGTTAAAAAATTATTCTAATTTTTATTTTCAATTAATTAAATTCTTTGTTTATATTTTTAAGGTTTTACAAGATTGAAAATTTAGAAGTAAAAATATACAATCGGAAAAATGGAATCTATCTCATCTGAATATTTCTCAACCAATGCAGATCTATTTGAGAATGATGAACTTTGCGATTTTACATTCATTGTAGGCAATGAAAAATTTATGGTTCACACACAAATTCTAGCTTCAAAATCGTCAGTATTTCTTGCTATGTTTACAATTGATATGAAAGAAGCTCAAACACGTGAAACTACTATTACTGATATTGATTCCAAGGTATTTAAAGAATTTTTAAGGTATATTTACACAAACTCAGTAGAGAAACTGCAAGATTATCATTATGAACTGTACATAGTTGCTGATAAGTACAACATACCAAAATTAAAATATTTATGTTCTAATTCAATAAAAAACAGTGTAGATGTTGCAAACGTCACAAAAATACTTTCATTAGCTGATCAGTACCAAGACGTTTCTTTAATGCTACGTATGACTTCCTTTATTCCATTCAATATTAAAGAAATTATAAACTCTAAAGAATACAAAAATTGGTACCCAAATGCATCACCTAAATTATTACATTTCATCTTGGAACAATGTACATACCACATTTCAAATAAATTTTAATTTATTCTTAATTATTTGCATATTTTTAAATGATATCCTTTTTGAAATTTTTTTATTTATTTTATACATATTCTGTATTTATGAAAAAAAAAACCTTAATAAGGAAGTGTTCGAAGCTGATAGACGAGAAAATAAATATTATTACTAACCAAAATAACAGTACAAAGCCTTTTCATTAAAAAATTAATTTACAAGTTAGTATTGCAAAAAAAGAAAATATCTCCATCAAAATTATTATTAATACAAAAACTCACAAGAGGATTTTTCAAAATATTTAAATTGCTATCGGCACAATGTCTAAGGGAATATACAAGTGGGAATAAAAATTGCAAATCGAACACAAAATGTCATGCGTGTATATCGACATTTGAGAATATTTTGACGAAAGAAACTTTGACACATTAGTCGTGCGGTTTCTGCGTATCCTTTTGATTTCCTGTCAGGAATATTGATGTTATATTGAATTCGTATACATATATATATACATATAAAGGTTCAGTAGTGAAAGTGATTTAATAGCAAAAAGGAAGCAGAATATGAAGATCACAAATTCGAGGGGTAAAAAGTCTTCCGTTATAGAAGTATGATAAGGAAATCTTGTCATAAATTCTTCCAATCATCGACAAATGTTTCCAATTTCAAGACGAACTATATGAAATCAACATCGGCTCTCTTACATCCGGATTTTTAATAAGACACTGAATGTGGAAAAAATATAAAGACTATTACATTTTCTCGCTTCGATTCATTATTATTTTATATTATGAAAAATTCCTCTCACAAACACGACGAAGAATCTTGAATTTCCTTTTCATTTCACAAGTTTAATTTCATTTCTCAATTTTAAATTCCTTGAATTTATATACGTAATGAATGATTGTATAAATCACTCTCTTGTTGAAAAAAAAAAATTATAAAAAATCTTTTACATATCTATTACACTTAAAATAAAGAATTTTAATTTAAATAAAAGTCTATAGTGCGTCGTTCCACGGTGAAAGGGACCTTAGCTGCAAAAAAATTAATTTTGAGTTATTTATATCATACTATCCTATTTGAGTTGCTCTTTCACATTTAAAAATAAAAAATAATTTTTACTTATAGATTTTTTTGTTATCATTGTTCAAACATGAGCTTGTTGATAGTTAATACGTTATTATTCAGAAAAGCAGCCCCACCACTTTCCACTACTACTACACTGGCAACGTAAGTACAATTCGTGTGCTTCGTGTAAAACGGACAAATTTCAATGTGTGGGGCTGAATTAAGGCACTCTCACAGCTTTTTGGTTGCCTGCCTGCCTGCAGGTTACCATGGCAACGTACGAGTGTGAGTGAGACAGAAAATTTGAATATTCAAATTTTTAAATTTTCTGTCGCACTCACTCTCATGCGTTGCCATGGTAACCTGCAGGCAGCCAAAAAGGTATGAGAGTGCCTTTTCAGTGGAGCGTCTCCACCAATTCGAGTGACTCTACTTCAAATGCTTTTCCTGTAAAATTCGTCTACTGCAGCTAAGGTCCCTTTCACCGTGGAACGACACATATATAAAACTTCCGAATACAAATAAATTAATTAATTAAAATCTTATTTTAAAAAATCTTGTACACTGTTTAAATTATGCAGGTAAATACCCTATATTGCAATAGTAAACCAAACGAATACGATGGAACACGAGCACATTGCTGGGTTAGTGGAAAAAAAGGACACGTCGGATTTTCGTTGAAAAAGAGGACACGTCGCGTTTGAGTTAAAGAAAAGGACACGTCGAATTTTATATTTTTTTAAGAAAATTTAAGTTGGTAACACTTTTTTTGAGGTTGACATTTAAATATTTATTTATTTATCACTTAACTGAAATAAATTATATTGGTTAGAATGGTTAAAAATTAAATTATAATATTGAACATTTAACCTTGTAATTCTAACTTAATTAATATTTTTGTTTATAATACAATTTTCAGTTTTCGCTAAGTTACAAAAATTAAAATTATAATTCTCCTTATTAAAAGATGAAAGATGTATATGCAGCAAAAAATTTATAACTTCAAAAATTTTTCGGGTCGTTTATGTGTAAATTGATAAAAAAATATTTTGATTGTAGGAAATAAAACTTCAATATAAAAGACAAATAATTACATCATAAAATTATTTCATTTTATGATGTAATTATTTGTCTTTTATATTATTATTAAATAATAATAAAAATTGTTATTTCATTTTATGATGTAATTATTTGTCTTTTATATTTAAGGCCATGTTCTTTTGCTATCACTTTGCGCGCTTTTTTTGAAATACAAAATTATTAAGTTTTTAAAGCAATAAAAAAGTGTAAAGAAACTAACGAAATAACTTAAAATTAAAAGTTACTATTAAAATAGTAACTAAGTTACGTTACAAGTTACTTTTAAAAAAAGTAACTTAGTTACGTTATAAGTTACAAGTAAAGTAACTTTTTCAGTAACTTAGTTAGTAATAACTAGTTACTACCCAACACTGATATGCATTTATAGCCTATATATTAACATGACCTCAAACTATCAAGTTGTTTTTAACTACACATAAAATTATAAAGTAAATATTAAATTATTTTGCCTAAAAATTTGTTGTTAAATAATAATTATTTCATTTTTTATATTTTTTGTTTATAGTTGATGAACAATTGTTATTGTTTTTTTTATGGTTTTTTAATAATATTTAATTTAATAAATTAATTTAATTTAATTCTTTTTCAAAGAGAAAAATGAGCCATTGTTTATAAAAATTGGATAAAAATTACAATTGTTCACCAACTTTTAAGAAAAAAAACACAAAATATTTATTAATTGTTATTTAACAATAAATTTGAACTGAAATTAATTTTTTTTTGTAAATTGTACGAATCCTTCTAATTTGGGTGAAATCAATTTTAAATATATATTTTTAGTTCTGTTAAAAAGTACATTTTAGTTTGAGTTTATCATAATGGGTTGAACCTCCTTAAACATATTTGACTGTATACACCGAGAAAAAAAATTTCTTTAATTTAAAGTACATAATCAATTTCTTCAACAAATTTTTCTTTGATTCAAAAAAAAAAATTATCTTCGTTTCAAAGTTTTTAAAAAATTTTTTTGAATCAAAAAAACTTTCTTTAAAATTAAGAAGCTTCTTTTATTTGAAAGAAAATTTTATTTTAAAAGAAAGAAAACAAGTCAAAGAAACTGATTTCTTTAAATCAAAGAAATATATTCTCTGGGTGTAGCAAAGATGTACTAAGTTTGAATGGTTCAACTAAAAAATATCTTTTTCTCAGTGTAGAAAAAATAGGATTTTCTTTAGAAATATAGAAAGAAATTAAAAATTAAAATAAATAATTTAATAAAATATGAAAAAAATGTCAGGATTAAAAATCAAAAATTTGAAAAAAGAATATAGTTACAAATTTCATATATATATCATATTTTTAAAACAACCCCTTTTAGGATAGACTAGAGTAGAGTTTGTGATTTATCATCACGAAGAATCTCGTTTTCCCTACGGATTTTCTTTCCAGTTTATTTTCTAGCATTATTATGGCTTATACTCTTCTCTGTTTCTAGTGATTCCCTGAGTGCTATTTACACAATGTCTTCTTTCTTTTTTTTTTTTTTTTGTCTTATTATGTATTCATGTAATTTACAGAGTTCAATATATAGAATCTATATATTTCATCAATATTTTTATTTTGCTTATTACACAAAAAGAAAGTGAACATATTGTATCTTTTTTATTGTTTCATTTTTATAAATAAAATAGAAATTTGTTTATACAGGAAAAATATGTCAAAATTTAGGGTACGAGGAGGGGATTGAACACAAGTTGAAGAAAATCTTAAAATCACCCTTCCAGGGAAAAAAAAAATATAATGTTATTAAAATTAAAATTTTAATTTATGAGAAAAAATATCCAGTCAGTGAGAAAGTCTAAAAGATTTACGAGGCAACATACAATAATTCAAAGGGGCGCACGCGAAGAAGTGACTCCTTAAAAATTATTAAGTTACATGCGGAGGAAAAGCATAGCAGATTGGCGAGCTCGAAGGAAAGCCGTCAAGATGAAGGATTAAAGAGGAGGGATTAAATGAAGGAACTCGTTGTAATTAGATCAAAAAAAAATCTCCAGGCAAAGCAAACATTTTTTTAAAGCTCAGCTAATATAAACAAAAAAAAAAAAAATTTAAATAATAATAATACAACTGAATATTTATTAAATATTCTATTAAATAAAATCTATGTTGCCTAAAGATGTGATACCAGAAGTATTAAATGTGTGCACTAAACTAAAAATTTTCAAAAAATATTAACTCTTTTAAAGGTTCTATTTATCTTTATGTTTGACTGTCACGGTGCGCCAGAAGGTGGTTTAAATAAAAATGAATTGGCACTTAAAAATTTTTTTTGATTATGATTCTTAGATGAATAACAAACATTTCTCAATAGTTTTTAAAATCAGTTTACGTGCCCGATTGAAATAAAATTGAGTTTTTATATAAAAACAGTGTTTTATGGGGAATCAGAATTTATTTAATCTAATAAATACTGTAATAAATGATAAAATAATTACATATTTTCAATTTTACATATAAATAATTATATTTCTGTAGTGTTTGTGTCCGATTTAAAAAAATTAAATTATAATGTTAAAAGAACGATTTTAAGAGTGACAAAATTTATTTAAGAGAGTCGAATGGTCTCTGAAATTTTTTGGCAAGAAGAGACCTTTAATTATCGCTCTATAAAAACGGCACTAAACGTGAAAATGATAAACATTGATTTTAAAATACTTTCTTCTCGAAAGACGGACACTTTTTACAAAAGCAGCTAGAGATCCTTATCTTATATAAATTTCCTAAATCCTAAAGATTATACGAATCCATACAAAAACACAATTGCAAAACAAAAAGTAATATAATGAGGGGTTCATTACCTCCTGCCGCCGTCAGATAGCAGCAGCATGCAGGGCGCACAAAGTCGCAGCTGTTATTAGATTACTTTTCTACTTTTTGTTTTGCAACCATGTTTTTCTATGAATTCGTACAGATTTTTGAATTTAGGAAATTTATAAGATGAGGATTTTGGCTGATTTTGTTAAGTGTTCGTGTTACGAGAAAAAAGTATTTTAAAATCAATACTATTTAACGTTCAGAGCGATAATTAAAGCTCTCTTCTTGCCAAAAAATTTCAGATACCGTTCGACACTCTTAATGCATAAATATAAAAACGAAACAAGAAAATAACTTCATTGTTAATTTTATATGAACCCAAATCTAAAACATCTATTATCTATACGCATATAAGTATACATTAAATAAATTCTGGTTCCTCATAAAACACTATTTTTAAATATTTAAAACTCAATTTGTTTTAAATTGGGCACGTAAGTTGATTTTAAAACCTATTGAGAAAAGTTTTTTATTCATCTTAGAACCATAATCAAAAAGAATTTTTAAGTGACAATTCATTTTTATTTAAACCTCCTTCTGGTGCCTTAAAAATAAACTGAGTTTGGATTAAACATAATAGAGTTGAACTAAAAATATCGTTTTCTCAGTGTAGATTCTAAGCAAAATTATAAATGAAATTTATTATTAATTTATTAATTGAAGATAAGAGTAAAATGGAGAAAATTATCTTTGAAAGATAAAGGAGACAGAGAATAATTAGAGATCACTAATGAGACTATACCATATAATGATCATGAATCATCAAAATCGCGCTTTAGATTTTCAGATATAGAGTAAAGGTTTTGGCAGTAGTAGAGAGCATCGAGTTTTCCCTGGAGGCACGTTTCCGGTAGGTAACCGTTAAAAGGGACATTCTGAGTGTGGTGTAGGGCCTGTTTCATACAAATGGGTCTCCGGAGAATTCGATCAGGGCGAAATTCGCCCCCAGGAGATGCTTAACGCTTTGGTGGAAAAGCATCACAATCGATCGCATTCGATCATCGACTCTATATACGTCCATCTGTTTCTCTCTTTCTCTCTATATCTCTTTCTCTCTCTCTCTCTATCTCTCTATATCTCTCTCTACATGTTCGTTAATACCAACTATTATTCAAACCGCTACACACTGTGACTGATTTTCCAACTTTACATCTGTTATCGCTTTTTCAAACCAGAATGGTACAGAGTTGATAATCTTGTTAACATGCAGCATCAGTACATTACTCTCATAAAAAGATTACCTTTCCACTTTATATTGTTTCAGCAAACAAATTTTATGTGTTTTTCATTTCAAAATCTGTAGTGCATCATTATTTGGTAAAGCAAATGATGGTGAATAATTATTACCATTGTGTAAAAAGTATTTTTTTAAAAAATAATTTTCTATATATATTACACCTTTTAGAACAATAGGGTGGTCTAATTGTAAGAAAAAAATTGAAAATTCTTTTACTCTCATACCCACAAAATCGGCGTTTAGCCCCTTGAAAGTCGATGGCCCAAATATGTCCAAAAAAAATCGTGCCACCTTTGTGATTTTGGATATGGGTGATTCTCCAGAAACAGGTCACTTTTGATTCTTTGATTAATTAGTTAATAAATATTATCTAGAATTGGTTTATTTTTTTTTTAATTTCTTCATTTTAATGATCTTTAATAAACTCATTATCAATATAATGATATTTTACTTCCCAAAATTTAATTTGTCATCTGAAATATGCTAAAAATATACTTTTGCTCGTTCCACACATGGATTTTGCTATTTTTGAATAAGATTTTTGACATTAAAATTAAAAAAATAAAATTTGTCATTATAGTCATTTTAAA